CCCCTGGGGGGCCCCCAGGGTTTGAAGAGGCGAGGGTACATACAAAAGGTCTGCGGAGATGGAAAAGGGTTTGGTGGCGATGTGGGGCAGCTTTTCGAAAAGGCGGAAAAGGGCCAACTCCTTCTTGTGGAGAGACACCAGAGGCCGGCACAGGCGAAAGACGGGACACTCCCTGCATGCGCACAGGACACGCAATATGCGGGGCTGGACAACGCATGCATGCATGCAAGCATGCGTTATGTGCATGCATGCGTTATGTGCATGCATGCGTTATGTGCATGCATGCGTTATGTGCATGCGTGCGTTATGTGCATGCGTGCGTTATGTGCATGCGTGCAAGCATTGTGCACGCGTGCGTTATGTGCACGCATGCGTTATTTGCATGCATGCATTACGTGCATGCATGCATTACGTGCATGCATGCATGAAGTGCATGCATGCATGCGCACATGCATGCGGGCTGGGGCTGGAGGCTCGACGTGGGGCTGGGGGCGCAAGCAAACTCGGCCTCTGGCTGCAGCGCCCCAAACCCCAAACCCTAAACCCCAAACCCTAAACCCTAAACCCTCACCTGTCGTCCACGGGGGCCGCCTCCATGGCCAGCAATCTGCCCTCTCCGTAGCAAATTCTTTCTAAGACCGAAAGAGCAGCACCAGAAACGGAGTCGCCTGTACACACCACTGGGGTGTACGTACACCCCAGCAGCCGCTGCTGCGCGCAGAAAGCCCGCAGCGCCCGGACCCTGCAGCAGGAGAAACAAAAGGAAAATGAAGAATGTTAAAAATAAATAATAAATATTAAAAATATTTAATAAATATTTAAAATTAACAAAAATAATTGTTTCCATTTGCACTGACGATCTAAAACGGAAAAGTCCACTCCTCGTGGCGGCCAGGTGTACAGACACCCAAACCTGCTGCTGCGCACCCCCGCTGCTGCTGCTGCTGCTGCTGCAGGTCCTTTGTGGATTTACTTTTGGCATTTTGACTACTTAAAAACACTCAAATCCAGAAAAAGCATTTTGAAGATAAATACTCTTCTAAATATCAAAATAAACCCTTTTACGCCAAGCTAAAGCTGCAGCGCCTGCTGCTGCAAATATTTTACTTTTATTATATTTTAAAACTATTTCTATTTATATATTTCATTTTAATAAACGCAAATACAAAAATATATTTTTATTTATAATGCATGCAGATGTGCGGAAAGAGGGAAAAAAACAAATGCAAAATATCCAAAAATGGAAACTTCCACATTTGCAGCAGCAGCAGCAGCAGCAGCAAACAGCGCAGCACCAACAGCAGCCAAAGGGACTAAACAGGCAAGAAATACGTGCAGCAAGAAGCAAACTGCTGCTGCTGCTGCAGCTGCTGCAGCTTCTGCTGCTGTTGCCACTGCTGCAGCAGCTTCTGCTCTGGCGCTGCTGCTGCTGCTGCAGCAGCAGCAGCAGCAGCTGCTGCTGCTGCTGTGAGGAGCCTCACCGGAGGGCCCTGCAGAGCCTCTGAGCTGCTGCTTTGTCTGTCTGGAAAGTGCGCGCGAGCAGCAACTTTAATTTAAGTTCTTTTTTTTGAATTTCTTTTACTTCCTGCGCGCTGCAGCGCCGGCCGTCCAGGTGTACGTACACCTCAGCCCCCGCCCCACACAAAAGCTGCAGCCCCAGCGGGTGCAGCAGCACGCAGCGGACAGCAGGCCACTTGGCCTTAATTGCTGCTTCCAGTTCGAACGCAAAGCCCCCTGCTGCTGCTGCTGCTGCTGCTGCTGCTGCTGCTGCTGCTGGCGACGGGTCCCAGGCCGGCAGCAGCAGCCGCTGCGTATCGACGTAGACGGCGACGCAGCTGCCAAAGTCCGCCTCTTCTATTTTCGGGCCAGCAGCAGCAGCAGCAGCAGCTGCTGCTGCTGCTGCTCGCTGCTTCTGCTGCTGCATGCGCCGCACTTGCTGCCGCTTCTGAATTGCTTCCTCCGCCAGGTGCAGCAGCGAGAGACTCGCGTCTCCGCCTGAGAGCGCAATGTAGAGCGGCGGCCCTTCTGTGCTGCTGCTGCTGCTGCTGCTGCTGCCGCATGCACTACCGTCCTGCTGCTGCTGCCGTTGCTGTTGCTGCTGCTGCTGCTCTTCCGCGAGTTTCTGCCGCAAGCCAGCGAACTCTGCTGCGAAGGCGCGCCTGACCAGCAGCAGCAAACAGCTGCGGCAGCACTTTTCTCTTGCTGCAGCAGCAGCAAACTCGCCGGGGCATCTGTAGCAGCGGAAGAGGCCGTCTGCTGCTCTCTGCCTTTGCGGCTTGGCTGGGGTGCGTCCCGCAGCCATTTTGGCTCACGCTGCTGCAGTCCTGCTGCTGCTGTTGCTGCTGCGGCTGCTGCTGCGGCTGCTGCTGCAGTTCAAGTGGGACTCCCAAGGGGCAGCTGCAGCACCGAGACGCAAAAGACTTGCTGCTGCTTCTCCGTCCATGGCGGCGCCTCTGTCGTGAGGAAGACAGCTTAAATTTAGCTCCACCTGCGGTGCATGCAGCACCTGCCGCTGCTGCTGCTGCTGCAGCAGCAGCAGCTCCTACGGCCGCTCAAATGGGCCCTGCGGAGGCTTCCAGCTGAGACTGTGCTGCATGCAGCTGCAGAGAGGCTTCGAAGGGCTTCCAGGCAGCCGCTGGGAACAAAAGCCTCGAAAGTTGAACGCGGGAGAAGGGGCAGTTGCAAGCAGCACAGAAGAATTGGGAGCCCCTAGAGGGAAAAAAAGTGCAATAAGAGGGAAAGAGCTCTAGACTTGGGCGAATTGGCGAGAGTTTCCCCGAGAAGTAGCCGCATTCAGGTTTGAGGCGGCTGCGGAGGCGGCCATTCAAGTGGTGGCGGCTGGGGCTGATCACGCCCCACACGCGGCGTTGTAAGGAAAAGTAAACCGCGGGATAGGCTGAAAATGCGAAGTGATAGCTGAAGGGACTTTATTCGGCGCAAAAAGACTATTTTTTGGGGGAGGATCGGAAGTGCGGAAAGTGCGGGTGGTGGCACTGCGCGGAGCCGAGCTGTACGTACAGCGGGAGTGGGTTGCTGCGATGCGGAGCCGGAGTGGCTGCTGAGGAAAGCAGCAGCGTCTCAAGAGTAAAGCTGGCATTTCTTTTTTATTTTCTTCTTATTTATTGTTGTCTGCCGGGTAGACGCGGCAGCTTCTCTTTTTCCCCTCCGCTGCAGCAGAGGTGCCCATCTTTGGCGACCACCTTGGTTCTGTTCAGTTCCTTGCTTTGGCGCCGCCGCTGCTTGCTTCCCTGACGGCCGCCTCAAGAACTGAACTCTCCAATATTTAATTTTCTTCTTTTCCAACGCAAAGAGGTACAAAAATCTGCATTTGAATCCCTGGCTTCCTCCCGCCGGCCCGCCGCCGCAGCCTTTGCTGCTGCTGGCCGCTCTCTCCCGCTGCAGCCTCTGCTGCCTTGTTGCTGCTCCTTTCTCTGTTTTTCTTGCTGCTGCTGCACGGGGGCCCCTCCGGGGCAGCAGCAGCTGCCTGGGGGCCCGCCGCGCTGCCTGTTCCACGGGCCTCCCCCTGTGGGGGCCCTCGGGGGGAGTGCGGCTCTTGCATGCAGCTCGCAGCAGTACCCTTTCGCTGCTGCTGTTGCGTCCTTTTGGAGGCCCCTCGCCCCCGAGGCGGGGGCCCCTCTCCCCCGCTGGGGGCCCCCAGGGGGCCCCCGGTCCCGCGGGTTAGGGGCCAGCGGGGCCCCCCGGGGGCCCCACAAGCTGGGTTTAGGACAGTTGTTGGTGGCGGTTGCTGCTGCTGCTGCTGCGGCCAGGTGTCTGCAGGCGGCGTGCGTGGCGTTGTGTGTGTTGCTTCGCGCAGGGATTGCGCCGCAGCAGCAGCAGCAGCAGCAGCAGC